ATGGTTTCACTCATATGGGGAATTTAAGAAACAAAACAGATGAACATACGGGAAGGGAAGGAAGAATAAGATAAAACCAGAGAGGGAAGCAAACCATAAGTCTCTTTATAGGGAACAAACTGAAGATTGGTGGAAGGGAAGTGTGTGTGGGGATGGGGTAACTGGGTGATGGGCATTAAGAAGGGCACTTGATGTAATGAGTACAGGGTGTTATAGGCACCTGATGAATCACTAAATTCTACCCCAGAAACTAATAGTACACTATATGTTAACTAACTTGAACTAAAATTAAAAAAAAAAAGTAAAAATAGAACTACAATATGATCCAGCAACTCTACTTCTGGATATTTATTTGAAGGAAATGAAAACCAGTTTGAAAAGATATCTGCACCCTAATGTTCACTGCAGCATCATTTACAATAGCCAAGATACAGAAAAAACCCAAGGGTCCGTCGATGAATGAATAGATAAAGGAAAAAAAATAATAAAGAATATTATTCAGCCATGAAAAAGAATAATCTTACCATTGGCAACAACATGTATGAACCTTGAAGGCATTATGCTAAGTAAATAAGTCAGAGAAAGACAAATACTAAATGATCTTTCTTATATGCAGAAACTAAAATATATATATATATATAAGCAAACTCAGACGCAGAAAATAGATTGGTTCCCAGAGGCAGGGAGATAGAGGATAGGAGAAATGGGGGAATTATGTGTTTGCTTTTGATTTAAATATATTGAGTAATAATAAAAGGGAATGGCTTATGGAGGGGAGATCAAATATACTTAAACTGCATTAAAAAAAGTGAAATACAGATACTTCCTATTGCTCCTCTTGATTCACCTATTAGGAGCAATTCCTGAATTTTACTGAGAACAGGAGGATATGTGATTCTGGAAAGGAGAACAAAACAGTCAAGTGGATGATCTATTTCTGATCAGAAGTATCTAGGAGATAGCTTTTTTTTTTTTTTTCCTTCCAGAGAAGTTTTTATACCATACAGTATCTTCAAAAGAACAGAAAACCAAAAAAACCCTTAGCTTTGGATTTCTGGGCTTGTCCTGGGGCCTGCCAAGATGGTACGTTTTATTTCCTGGATCTTGGTTCAGAGCTGTTAGTTTGTGAGAATCCTGTGGTTAAGCCTCTTTGGGTAAATGTCTTGTTGGAAAGTCTGGCTTAATGGGTTTTACCTATGGCTTTTGAATAGCTTTGGAAGAAAAGTGAGAGCAGCTCCTCTAGGATGTTGGAGAGACCACCTTATTTGTGTTAGCAGAGCCTTCCTCCTGGGACCTCCTTAGCACCGGCTGCAGAGCCAAGCTGTGACCCCTGGATTTACCTTGAGCCATGAAGGTTCCTGCTGTGTGTCTTGTCCTTTCTTTCCCTCCCTCCCTTTCTTCCTTCCTTCCTTCCTTCATTTCTCTTTCTTTCTTTCTCAAGATTTTATTTATTTGAGAGAGAGAAAGCATGCATGAGCAGGGGGGAAGGGCAGAGGAAGGAGAAGCAGATGCTCCGCTGAGCAGGGAGCCTGACACGGGGCTCCTTCCCAGGACCCCGAGATCATGACCCAAGCCAAAGGCAGTCACTCAACCAACCAAGCCGCCCAGGTGCCTCGCTATATGTCTTTTCTTCCTGTCTCACTCTTCTCCCATAGGGAATGAAGATTCTCATGCTTCTCTAAAGTTTAAAGCTTCAGGTGAAGTGATCGGGGGCTCTCCTGTTACCAGATGAGCACTGATTCTGGGGACGTGGAACATGGCTGGCAGACGGTTAATCATAGGTCTGATGATTATAATGATCTTATGTCCTGGAGACCCAGTTTTAGACATTCCAGTTCGCTGTCAGACCCTAGGCCTGATTTCAGGTTTTTGAAAATAATCCCGAAGGTCACTTCTGTGTGTGCAAAGAGAACTGCTCTCCTGAGCCTTGTGAGGGGCCCGTCTAGAGTGGAGAGTTGGAATCTGTCCCTTGGTCTTTGCTGGTACAGGAACTTCCAGGTCATGGGAGAGAGAGAGAGCAGGCTGGGAGGGGGCTGGGTAAGAAGCCTGTGCCACCCAATGGCCACTTCCCAGAATACCACACTTCTTCGGGCTGATCTGCTTTGTGTGTATTGCGCCTCTATCTGGGATGCCTTTCCTCTTTTTCTCAGCCCAGGAACCTATTTCTCCTTTAAGACCCTGCACAATTCACTTCTGTCTTACTGATGGATTCTATGGCCACCATTTTGTTTTTCCCTCTGTATGTTCCAAAGTGTTTCCTTCCACTTGTCCTGTAGCATTTATCACAGAGCAGTAAAATTACTTATGAACATTTTAAAAAAAATATTTATTTGAGAGAGAGAGAGAGTGCATGCATGCATGCATAGAGGGAGAATGTTTGCACACAGAGGGAGAGGGAGAAGCAGGCTCCATGCTGAGCAGGGAGCCCGAAGCAGGGCTCCATCCCAGGACCCTGAGATCATGACCAGAACTCAAGGCAGATGCTTAACTGACTGAGCCACCCAGGAGCCCCAGGAACATTTTTTTTTTTTTAAGATTTATTTATTTATTTTAGAGAGAGGGAGTGCACATGCTTGCAGGGGGAGGGGCAGAGGGAGAGAATCTTCAAGCCGACTCCCTGCTGAGCGTGGAACCCAGCCCAGCCCAAAAGAGCCTAACACGGGGCTTGATCCCACAACCCATGAGACCATGACCTGAGCTGAAACCAAGACATAACAGGCCCTCCTTCCTCAAAAAAGGGGACTCCTCCTTCCACCCCTGCACAGGGGAGGGACCTGCCTCCAGGGGCCAGTACAGGGGCGGCATCTTAAATCAAGATGAGAGAACCCCAGGAAGAGAGAGCGAAGGCCTGGTCTTTTTTTCAGATCCTAATCTTAGAGTTTAAGAGATTTATTTTTCCCCGTTGAAAGCTGTCCCCTTACAGTTGGTGTTTCAGATGGCACGCGGTGCCTCACCACGAATCTGTTAGTGTCCTCACGGGCACATTTTGTTCCAGGAAGCTCTCAACTTGTTTTTGGGAGAGGAACTCCCAGGAAGTCCATTTATCATATGACTAGAGTAAGTGAAAGGTAATCCTTTTTAAAATGTGAGTTATGGAGCTTCGAAATGTACCATTTATCTATGTCTGCTGTGGAACGGGGGAACATCAGGGCAGGTTTATTCCTTAAACAGAGTGTGCTCTCCATTGTCTTTAGGGCTCCGTATCCCACACCCTGTTCCAGCGCACAAAATACTCTCCTGTGGTGAATTCTGCGGAAAACACTGATGCACCTGGAGTTCCTTGTTACCAAACATTAAGTATGTCTTTGAACACATGCATGGTAAGCAAGCTGCTTAATTATTAGGCTTCCGCGTCTACGTAAACACGCTTTTGTTTAATATTCGATATCAAATATATTTGAGGAATATTTTTTGGGAAGAAAGCTAAACAGCTTTGGAAACTGGAAAACTTCTAGAACTCTTGACCAGGCAAGTACATATTAGAAGATGAAAGGGATCAATGTGGTCAACCATAAATTGGAAGAGCGTCACTAAAAAAAAATGAAAGAATTCTTAGATTTCTCTTCCCTTTGTATAAAAATAGTGTGACATGTAGCCACAAACCCTGGCTGAATGGAACAAGATGGCACTATTTGCATTCACACAAAATGGGTAACACACAAGTTATTTAGTTCCCAGTTTTAAGAAGTCTGTGTAAACCAGAGAGAGAAAACCCATAGCCTCCGAGCTTCCTTTTAAAACCCTTGCGCAGATGCTGAACTGAGAAGTGACAATATCCTAACATATTCAAGGTTAAACCCCTGAATGGTCTTCACATTTACTTATTTTTAAGATTTTTTATTTCGCAGAGAGAGAGAGAGAGAGAGAGAGAGAGAGAGCACAAACAGGGGGAGGGGCGAAGGGAGAGGGAGAAGCAGGCTCCTTGCTCAGTCCCAGGACGTGGAGATCATTACCTGAGCCAAAGGCAGATGCTTAATGACTGAGCCACCCAGGTGTCCCTGGTCTTCTCATTTATAAGGCTCAAGACAATAAACATTTATTCCGCACCTGCTTTGCTATTAGCCCAACATCTTACTTGTATTCCTACCACCTGACACTGGTCTTCATTTCACATTTAGCAAGTCAGTGAACGTTGCACATCCATGTGGAAGACACTGGTGTTGGTACGTGCTTAGCACAATCCCAGGCATAGAGTAGGCACCCAGAAAACATTAAGTATGAATGAGAACAAGAACACAGCCTTCATGAGGTCATGGTCTAATCTCAGGTAAGTGATGGGCACTTGGTCCCATTTACCTTCTAAGAGAGACATGAGTCAAGGCTTTGGTGGAGGCAGGAAGCACTGAAGAACCATTAGAGGGTACTGCTTTTCCCTTCTGCCCACCACATAACACAGTGGAGCCAGCCCTCTGCCAGGGCTACCACATCTCCTGGCTGGGGAGGGAGCCCCTGGACAGTCCCACGGGGACAAAAGGGACTCTCCACATGAGGTCACTAGACTTCTCTGTATTCCAATTTAATTAATTTTTATGGGACGTTTTGAATAAAACACAACCCCCCTCTTCCATTATGGTGAACACTTAAAATTACATTTATACGAAATTACATTTACGCTAACTTCTATTGAAAGCCAAATTCCAGGCTTAAGCTATTGGCCAAATCCCATTAAAAAAAGAGGATATTAAGTAAATTAGTTGAGCTGATTAAAAACACCTTCATCAACGTAGGACAGGGGTGCCAACAATATTAAGAGTTGAATTATTGATTTCTTTTTAAATAGCAGATGGTACATTAGGAGGGAGGAAAAGCAACTCGGCTTCCTGTCTCCTCCCTTCCTCGCCCCCCCCCCCCCCCCAGTCCCTTTCTTTGGGAGTAAGGAGGGGACCCACTGATCGACTCCAGGAGAGCCGGGAAAGGGAGGTGAAGAAGTAAGGTGGGAGGACAGGAAGGTAGAAGATGGGGCCTAGGTAAGGGAGAAGGAAAAAAAGGAGTGGAGAATAATGACCGCAGGGAGCGGGGGGCCACAAGCCTGGAAGAGGGTCGCTGTCCTAGTGAAGGTGCAGTCATCTCTACCCTCGCCCGGCGGCAGGACCCCAGGCACGGCTGCGAGCCAGGCGGGCGCTGGAACTGGCACGAGGACGCTCCCGAAGTCGGCCGCCAGAGGGCGCGGCCGGAGTCGGCGCGGCGGAGCCCGAGGAGGGAGGAGGGGAGCCGGCGGAGAAGGGTCAGCCGCGGCGGCACGGGCGACAGCGGCAGCCGCGCAGCTCGGCTCCCCGCGCGTCTCCCGTCCCCACGCCCCACCAGGGCGCGCAGCTCCCGCCGCCGGGATGCTGCCGCCCGCTCGCCGTGGCCGCCGCCTCGCGCTCCCAGCGCTGCTCTCGCTCCTCACCTGCTCACTGGGTAAGTAGCGGGCGGCCCGGGCGCGCACGGGAGAGGCGTGGGCTTCTCGGGCGCTACCGCCCGCGTCCCGCGTCCGCGCGCCGAAGGGAGTGCCGGGCGGCCCAGCCCTGCCCCGCGGGCGCCCGTGTCCCGCCGTCCCGTCCCTGCCGCGCCGGCGGCAGCGCCCTCTCGCGGCGTCCGGGTGGGGACCCGGCTCTCCCGGACCCCGGGGCGCGGCGCGCCCGGCCCCTTTCGGCTCGCCGGGTCCCGCCGCCGCCCCGGCCCCGCTCGCGTCTGCCCGCCTCCTTCCGCCAGGAGCTGGCGGCCGGCCGAGCCGGGAGGGCGAGGCGCTCACCCCCACAGGAAGCGCTGAGTAAATGTGCAACTGCAAGAAACTTTGAGAGCGGGGAAGCGGCGGTCGCGGTCCCGCCCCCCTGCCTTCCGCCCGAGTCCCGCCTGCCCCGCAAGCCTCACACGCCCCGCGCGGGCGCCACCGACTGGAGGCGGGCGGGCCTGGCGGCCCTCTCGCCGAGCCGGGGCGGCCCTCTCGCCCTGCACCTCCGCGTGGGGCAACCGGGGGCTAGGGACCGCACCCGCCGACCCAGATCCGCGCGCCCTGCAGGGGCTCTCTGCGGGGGTCTTCCTGCCGTGCCCGGGTCTCCAGGGCTGACATGCCAACTTGGCACCAGCCCTTCTAATCATTCCTAGGTTAGGAAGGGAGGGTCGGGGTGCCCGGCTGGGCCTTCAGTGGGTGCGGTGGTGGCGTGGCAGAGGCGGTGGGGACATTCCCCAGTCTTGGGTCTTTAAGGGGGAAAATTAGAGAACACTTCTGGCAACAGTGCTTGTCGGGTTTGCTGCTGCCGTAATGCCCCTTTCCTTTTTTCTTCCGTTCTCCTCACAGGAGCATTTTCTCCCCTTTATCGTAAAATGATGTGGCAAAGTTAAAAAAAAAAAATCGTCCTGATTGACCTATATGGTGAGATTTGTTCAAATTTGAAAGGTTGGGGGAAAATGACTCCCTTTTCAGTGTTCTCGGGGTTATTGTCCTCTAACCCGTATTTTGTGTTTGCAGTCTGTTAAAAGGCAGTAATTTCAGATTTTTAGAAATGGCAGAATAGTGCAATTTAGGAAGAGACGTAGCGTTATTGCACATTGCTTTTTGGTAGCCCACTGGAACCTGTACAGCTCGTTTTTATTTGGATTTAAACTCTCCGAATGAGGACGTTATTTGCGTACCCTTTGCTTTTCTATAGGTGCTCAGTAAGTGTGGGAAAATCGAGGGAGATTAATTGTTAATTAATTGTTCACATGCATGATTAAGTAAGCAACAATGTAATTAAAAATGTTGGGACACCTTGGGCACAGAGAACTGTAATTGACGGTGGGGAGCAACTGAACGTGGAGGAGATCTGCTTTAGTGGAAGAAAGAATGCATGGCTGGGAGGGGGGCAGCCCAGGGAGAAGGGGAGGTTGGAGGGGTGGGAAATTGACTAGGTGACTCTTGGCTACATCAGTTGGCTTGCTGCCTGGAAGTTTTGCACCTAACCAAATAGGGTGGGTGGTAGCTGAAATTGGCATTCTATTTATAGCACTGCACTTTATAATGGTGTACTGGGGATATAATATTTGTACATAATATATTCAATGTAGGGGCTGAAATACATTTGTATTGCTGTGTCTATTTTTTACTGCACTTAAGGGAATATCTGTACTGTCCAAACTTGATAACACATTAAAGGACAGTCAGAATGAAGCAAAATGTCAACACATTTTTAGAGATGTCTATTAACATTGTGAAGTTGTCAGATAAGCACAATAAATAAGACATAAAACCTATTAAAAGGTCCCTGTGAGACATTTGGCTTTGTGAACTGGCTTTCATGCGTTGGTACAGACAAGAAGCTGTATTCTTCGAGGTCTGAAGTAAATTATGAGCTTGGTTTATTGAGCTCTGCTTTGGGGGTGTTGGGGGAGCTCCCAGATGCAAAAAGATGTGGTACCCAATCTATAGATCTCTAAACCAGAGCTCTTGGATCTTGCTAAAACAGAGATTATGTTAGGAATTTTGAGGCATGTGAACAATCCTGATTGCTTAAAAATACTCTAAATATTCCCTCGTTAGTTTGGCCTGGGTATATATATAGTTTAGTTTTCCCACAAACTATAGCATATTCTCTTGAGTTGTTAGAGAAAAGTCAATATAGAAAATTTATTTTAAACTCATATGATTATACAGACCAAATTCACTGCAACTTCAGTTCTAGAGTCCAGTGCCAGTTCTAGAATCAGATTTATTCACACCTCTACGTCAGCTCCTAGTGGGTCTGAGCTCAGTTTTCTCAGGAGAGAAACAGGAGACCTAGACTAGATAAAATACCAGAACTTTGCCATTTCTTATAGTTTTAATGTACTGAGTCTCTTGTGGCAGAGACTGCTATCTGCTACTCAGTTACCCGTAGTTCCTTCCTTTCCTGACTAAAAAACCTCTTAGATAATCAGGAATGAGGGCACCTGGGTGGCTCAGTCCTTAAGCATCTGCCTTCTGCTCAGGTCATGATCCCGGGGTCCTGGGATCAGGCCCCGCATTGGGCCCCTGCTTGGTGGGAAGCCTGCTTCTCCTTCTCTCACTCCCCTTGCTTATGTTCCCTCTCTCACTGTGTCTCTCTCTGTCAAATAAATAAATAAAATCTTAAAAAAAAAAAAAAAGATAATCAGAAATGTTGGGTGACTATATTTGGAGATAGGACCTCCAAGGAGATATTGCAGGGTAAGTGAGGTCATAAGGGTGGGGCCCTAGTCCAACGGGACTGTGTCCTTATTCTTCTCTGAAGGGGAAGAGACACCAGGGATGTACTCAAACAGAGAAAAGGCCATTGGAGGACACAGTGAGAAGACTTTTCTACCCACAAGCTAAGGAGAGAGGTCTTAGCAGAAACCAACCCTGTTGGCACCTTAATCTTGGACTTCTAGTTTTCAGAGCTGTGAGGAATAAATTTCCGTTTGTCTATGGTTGTTGTTAAGGTGGCCCTAGCTGACTAATAATACAAGGAGCGAGGGGAAGGATGGAGGAATCTCATGGTGGTGGTGGCGGCAGTGGTGTGTCCAGGGAAAAGAAGTTTCTCAGTGGCCCTTGCAAGCAGGGGCAGCCACTGAATTACCTGTAGTGATTTTTGGGTGGGTCTCTTTGTGAAGCTTGTTAAAGGTAGCTGACCCAGTTGGGATGCATGCTTTTTGTTGTTCTTTGGTTGTTTGCTTGTCTTTGTTTCATCTTCCTTACCATTGTCTGTAAATCTGATGGTTGGAGCCATGGTGGTCATCTTGTGACCATGAGGTGACCTTGAAGACAGAAGCCAGTTGTAAGGATTGTGGGGCAGAAAGGACAGCAGTGCCTGCCTGGGTGCCTGAAGGATGTGGAGCACCACACCAGCCCTGGGTCCCTTTTTCCAGACTTGTATTGCAGGAGATTAAAAATAAACCCCAGTCTTGTTTAAGCCTCTGTTGAGTTTTCTGTTACGTGCAGCAGCCAACCTAATCCTAACTGATACATCTGTGAAGAAGCTCATTTGAACCAATGGTAAAATAATAAGATGCTAACTTTTATCTTTCTTATCCCTGTTTCTACTCTGTATGTGTCAGGATTGAATTTGTTAGCATCCACCAAAATTAGGTTTTTTTTTTTTTCATTCTGGTCCAGTTCTCGCTCAGATTCTTTTTACTGCAGTGAGTTAGACATTTTAGGACACCAAGAGTCAGACCTGATCCCAGGTTATTGTGTGTGTGTGTGTGTGTGTGTGTGTGTGTGTTTTAATTTTTGATTTTTAAACCCTCCTTTTATTTCTTAAGCAGCTATGACTGATAGAGAGTTTACCCGTCTGGATGAGTTCTTGTCCAGCTAGTCTGGGGTTTCCAAGTAGACGTGGTTCTCTTGGTTATGGATTTGACTCAAAGGAGTTTGTCTCTAGCCAACAGTCAAGCTGTTTATCAGGGGGGCAGATAAGGAGAGGGGGAAAAGAACATCTGTTTCAGGTGGGATGGTGAGGTGGTGGGGGTGGGGGAGGGAGGAACTATCCTGACCCTTTTGTTAACTTGTTCTGAGGCAAGCATTGTGGGCCTAGTACTTGAGTAAGTCCTAATACTGACTTCATTTGGACCACTAAGAGGCAGGTTTTTTTGTTTTGTTTTGTTTTTTGCTTTTCATTAGAAACATAAATCAGGGTGTTTCTAGGCACAAAGGGATTATGGGGGATTCGCAAATGTTATTATGTTTTGCCTCTCTGTAGCATTAGGGACAATCCATCTTTGGCGTTGCCAGATTCTTGGTAAAGAATAGTATATAGGAGTGTTAATTCCATCTTTCCCAACACAAAGGAAAGTTTAGCGAGTGTTGGGGGTTCATCAGATCTATTATTGATTGAGAGTCTCCCTTAATTCCATGTTTCAAAGCTCTATTCACTAAGCCACTCCCTAGAGGAACCCAATTCAGTGTAGGCGCTGATTTGCACTCCTAGAAAATGTTAACAGTTCAAAAATAGTATTAAAAGAAAGAACTGTATTTGGAATTTTTTTCATTTATTCCAACTGTTGAGTATCTACATGTATCAGAAACTGGGGATATTGCAGGAAGAAGACAGATCGAATCTGGCTTTCCCCTGGTGGAGCAGGCAGTCTCCAAGGGGTAGGTGACATTAAACACTACACAAAACAAATCACACTGTGCTCAGTGCCCTGGCAGGGGACTCCTGGTGCTGGGAGAATGCCAGGCAGGGAAGTGGAGGGCTTTAGCCTGGAATCTGGAGTAGTGGTTCTCAATAGGGGGCGTTCTTGCCCCTCATGGAGAATTTGTCAATGGCTAGAGACTTTTTGGTTGTGGCAGGGAGTGCTACTGGCATCCAGAGCTGGGGCTCTGAGGGATATCCTACCATGTGCAGGACAATCTCACCCTCCAAAGAATCTGTGATCTGGTCTATTGTTGATAGTGCTGGGTGCCAGGTTAAGAAACCTTGGAGTAGGGAGTCAAGGAA